GTCCACCTGTGGACCTGGGTTTGTGGGACAGTGTCTTCAAGCATGTGATGCCACTCTTGATAGCCTCATATAGATAGGGCCTGGTGGAGGCTACTTCCTCATGACATTTCCCTCATTGTTCCCAAGCCTTCCGGATCCTTATTGCTGGTTCTACACTGCCCTGACTCACTCACTCTCCCTTCAGGTTGGTCCAATGGAGCAAAAGAGGCAGACAAGAGGTCAGGTGTATCCCACTTCCTACTGTTGGGTGTAGGGCACAGGATAGGCTCTTTTCCTACCTGGCATATTAGATTTAAAAAAAAATATCAAACTCATTGCCATGGAGTTGGAACTGACCCATAGCTGATCCAGTGAATTTTCAGGATATTATAAATCATGTAGAGGGAGATTGCCCATTTTTCTCTCATAGAGCCACTGGTGGATTTGAACTGCCTAAGAGGGACCATCTTACAACCTTATACCTGGCACAATCTGCACAGCTCCCTGTAGGCTAGGTTGGCATCGAGATGCCTATACCTCATAGCAACTCTGTGAACAGCTGATCAGAAGCCTTTCCTGTCCTGGGCCATCCTTGCAGTCACTGTGTCAATCCATCTGGTTGAGGTTCTTTCTCTCTTACACTTACCCTCTGACTTTCCCAGCAATACCAGGTTTAAGTAAAAAAATCATTGTTATGGAGTTGGAACTGACTCAGCATCAACCTTTCAGCTGATTTTCAGAGGCTGTAATGTCATGGAAGGAGACTGCCCATTTTTCTCCTGCAGAGCAGCTGGTGGATTCGAACTGAATGGCTTTGGGTTGGTAGCTCTTACATTTACTATCATAGTTTTGGATTAAATTTTAACTTCCTTAGCCTGGTCGTTGGTGGATTTGATGGTAGTAACCCAGCAGTTCATTAATAATTTGTCTTAATTATCTGGTGCTGCTATAACAGAGATGTCACAAGTGTATGGCTTTACCAAACAGAAATTTATTCTTCTACAGACTCATTGTCAAGTCCAGTCCAACTCATAGCAACCCTATGAACAACAGATCTGAACCCTGCCCTATCCTGTGCAATCTTCACACTTCCTGACACACTAGAGCCCATTACTGCAGTTGCTGTGTCAACCCATCTGGTTGAGGGTCTTTCTCTGCCTCAACATTCCTCCACCTTTCCAAGCATGATCTCTCTTCCCAAGGAATAACCTCTCCTAGAAACAAGCCCAAAACAAGCGAGACAAGGCCTCATCATTCTTGCCTCCAAGAGCACTCTGGTTGCACCTTCTCCAAGACATACTCACCTGTTTGTTCTTTGGGGCTTCCATGGGATGTTCAGCACTCTTCTCCCACACCAAAGTCTTACAGATTAGACATTCAGATTTAGGATTCTGGCTCTGGCAGAGGCTTTCTTTAGGTTCTGGGAGTTTTCCCATGCAAGAACCGGGGTACAAAGGCTGCTTCTCTTCCTCTGCCTGCTGTCTTGTGGCACCAAGGTTTCCCTTCTGGGCGAGCTGTTCTCCCGTTTTACCTCTTTGTGAGCAAGTGTGAAGTGTTACAGGCCCCACACCAGGGGAGCTTCTCCTGCAGGGGTCATGTAAGGACTGTGATTGGATTCCTTTTATCCTTTTACTGCTTTTTGGCTTATCAGGTTATGGGAGCTATCAAGTCATGATGTAGCTTCCATATTACATCGTTACATGTGGGGGACACAACTCAACCCTGTGACCTTGTCCCATGATGCCCTTAGAGTCCTTGTGAGGTGCGGATGTGCTCATCATCTCATATTGGGCCCTGAGGAAGCAGCTCCCCAAAGCCCTTTCCTGCATCTTTGTCCTGTTCACTTGTATTGGTGGCATTATTTTGCAGTCACGTTGAACAAAGATAGGCATTATCAGGTCATCTGCAAAGAGATGAGCCATCGGGACAGCTGTGACTTGCCCGTGGTACAGGAGTCCTGGGTCCACCCAGGCTCAAGAAGAGGCCCATTCCTAGGGGTCAGCCTGCAATTAGGGAGATGTTTGTCCTGGGCTTCTCCCTTGGTCATGGAGACTCGGGGACTCAAGGTCATGGGGCTTTTCTTATCCCAATTACCTGCAGAATTTTGGATAGCTTTCAGGATAGTAAATCATTTGGATTAATGACTTTGCAGGAAAATGGTTTCATGTGTTTTTCTCCATTTTTTAAATTTGTGACCACAGTGAGTGCATTATGTTCTCTGGTCTTTGTCCTCAGTTCTCATTGGTGCTGCTTGGTGCTCGTCCAGCACACATGTGTGTCTTGTCCCTATCATCTGCAGTGTGTGCAGCTGGAAACTAGTGCTGCTTCAGTGCTGGAGTTGCTCAGACTATACAGGAGAACACCCCTGAGAAGCACAGCGCTACCTGCCAAAGGACTGGGAGCTCTCAGCTCACTCCCACAACACCCCAGCAGGTGGTCACAGCTGTGTTTGCCCCTGGGAAGAGAGGAATTTACATGGCTCTAAGAGCTACAGGTTCTTTATACTAGTCTTGACATTTTTTCCTGCTTTAAAAAACTTTCAGAATGATAAGCATAAAAATACCATGAAAGAATAAATCAATTTGCTAAGCCTCCATCCTTGTCTGTGAGGTCCAGATCTTTCAGCAGACAGAACCTGTGTTCTATTTTAGTAACCGAGTGCACTTCCCTAGAGTGTGACCTCATGTGTGTGGAACCCACACCCGAGTCCTGCATGGTGGATGTTGCCTTCTTTTTGAGCTCTGTGTGGACAAGTGAATGATGTTCATTCTGTGTATATTCTGTTTCCCCCTCAGTTCCATTCAGTTACTGTTGATAGTGGCTATTTGAGCCATCTCAAAGAATGCTTCATGCTCTTGTCCATGGCTTACGGTGATTTAGCATCCATTGCAGTGCAGACCTTGGGCTGACCGGGCCTGAGACTTATTTTGGAAGATGAGTCCTCAGTCCTTGTTGGGGCTGAGTGTGGAGGTGAGGGCCAGTGTAGTCTGCTCCCAGACTTGGAGTTTGGAGCCCAGCCATCCTTACTTTCTCTGGGCATCCAGGCATCAGGGCAAGGAAGGAGCACTTGGTCCTCTTCTTAGAGTGAGAACTGCTGGTGTTCTAGAGTGTCCCAGAGAGGTCCTGCCCACAGACATGTTCTGACGCTAAAGAAGGGCACATGCAAGCTTCCAGATTAAGTGTGTGTCTGCTTACCCCTCCTGCAGACTCACTGACCACATGTGTAGAAGGAGCACGGTGATGAGATGGGAGGTTTCAGGGAGTGGCTCTTACCCCCAAGCACAAGGCTCTTGGGCTATGATAAAAGGTGAGAGGCCCACAGGCATGCTATTCAGAATCATTTTTTAATTAGCACGTTAATTGTTACCCTAATAACGTGTGCTATTAGGAGCTCCCTGTGGGCCTCCTGTGTGTTATTGCTGTGCTGCACATGCCCTTGCTCACCATCCCTGTGAGGGGCTCAGCTGCTGTGGAGGGGGGCAGATGTCCCTTCTCCAGTCCCTTGGCACTTCATGGATGTGACCTTGAAGTTTGAAAGTGACTTTGTTTTTCTTTATGGTTCTCCCACATATGGCTATGCTCCCCAAAGCAGATTTGTCTGGGGCCTTTCTATAAATGAAAGTCCAAATGAGTACTCCCTGTGTGGGCTGTCGGCTTAATGATTACACGTTGACGGATGCAGCCTGACAGCATCTGTTTCCATCACTGCACAGTGTTCCCTTGTGCTCCTCTTGTTGCTCAGTGACATGGCACTGCCTTGAGCTTATGGGAACAACACACTGTCATCCTGAACCACCCTCATGACCGGGGGAGGGGGAGTGTCCTCACCAGACCACATTATCTGAGGGTATTTATTGCCTGATTCAAAAGTAGACCACTAGGCCCGTTAGCGTGGTTCTTAGCCAGTAAACAACTCTGAATCCTGTTCAGCATCACAGGAGGCCTCAGCTGAGGAATGGGTGACAGCAGTGCATAAAGTCTACAGGGGAACGTCTACCCCCGAGCATCCCTGTCCCTTAGTGTGACCCTACTGTTGATTATTAGGTGTTGTGGAGACAATTTTTTACTCATAAGGACCCATGAGACAGAAGGGGGACTACTTATAGGGTATTCTAGGCTGTGTCCTTCTGGGTGGCTGATGTGTGGGCTGGAACTGCTACTCAAATTCTTAATCATCTTACTACCAGGGTTCCTTTCTGTGTGATTATAACTACAATCTATCTTCTCTCCTGTCAATAGAAATGTGGGATACTTTTTTCACTGTTTTGCTGCTAAAATCTTTACCAGCTTTAAAAATCCTACTAAGATGTCTATTTATTTGAGATATAGCTTTTCTAACTGAAAAACGATAACTTGCTAGTTCCCATGGACCCCAGCCCCATGCTCTCCCTCTGGTATCTCATTCAACTAGAGAGGTGCAGCCTTGGGTAGAGGAAGCTTGGTGGCCTGACCTGAGCGGTCTGGGACCACCATCATGCCTCCTTCTTCCAAGGGAATTCTCCTGGCCAGTGCCTTGGACTCTTCCTCCTGCTGAGCTGTGTAAAATATTTCAAGGTATCCGCCTTCAGACCTGTGATATGGAGATTTGGATGGAGGAGGGGAGTCTAGTGGTGTGACTGGCCAGAGCTGGTCTCTGAAATGCCCTGAGGCCACTGGCAAAGATGGCTTTTTGGTGCAACCCACTGCTGCCTCAAAAGCATGGCTTTGACTTCATCTGGAAACTCCCAGTATTCAAAAAATTAGGGCATAGAGTGAAGGCTGAGTCAGGGCCATCAGCTCCACAGCTGTTGAATGGCAATGGCCTTGTCTGGACCTTGGGACAGCCCAGGCTAGTGCCCTTGTCACACCTGCTTATCCTGTCTGGTTAGCGGACTCCCCCTCCGGATTTACTCAGCCTTTTCTGGGGAATAAGCTGTACTCTCTGCAGAAGCTTCCTGCCCCAAAGCTTCAGCTCACCACCCACAGTCACTGGCAGCATCATAGCCACATGCAGGTAACCACTCTTCTCTTTTTGTCCTCAGACCATCAGAAGCTGGAGAGAGAGGCTCGAATCTGCCGCCTGCTGAAGCACTCCAACATTGGTGAGGAAGGGGAGGGGCAGGCTGCCTGGGTCTTTCTGGGGATCTGACTTTCAAAGAGAGACATGCCCCTTCCTACTCTCTTCAGCGATGTAATTGCACAGGCATTTCTCTATGACAGCTGTAGCAACAGCAGTGCTGAAATACACCTCTGTCTTCAGGTGACCAAACTCAGGATCCCTGTGAAGTTCTGGCTATGACCAGATCCTAACCTTGTCCTGTACCTTGTGGGGTAAGGTTAGTAACAGAGCCCCCAGAAGGGGTTGTAAAACCAAGTGACCTCATGGTATAACCCCACCATAAGAGAAGTTGTGAGTCTGTTGAACACATGCAGTGGTCTCGGAGCAGCCGGCTGCATGACAGCCCTCTGCAGACTTGCCAGAAGGCCAGACCCTGGTGCTATCCACAGAAAGAGAGCTGCTGGCCAGTCTTGGAGGCTCTGTAGTCTTCTTTTGTCCAGTTCAGGGTCAGGACTGGGAACACATGTTGCCCTTTCCTGTCTAGGAGGAGTGTCTTCTGCCGTGGTGGAGGGAGGGGTTTGTCTGGAGACCAAGGTTGCAGTGGGGACAGCAGCAGCAGGCTCACCTGCTCTTGGGTGGAACCAGGCCTGCACCTGGCTGATGGGGCTTCAGGGTAGATCACCTGGCACATGGACAGCTCTGATGGGTCTGGCAGTGTCCTGCTTATGGTCTATGGCACATCTGCTCTGTGGTGGTGTCATGCTGGTCCATAGACCCCTGTTTTTGCTTTCCAAGATCCTGCTTATAAGGACCTCATTCCAGTCTAAACCAATACAATCTAGAATAGAAGTGGAGCTCTGAACTTGTAGGTGCAGAACTAGTGTAAGAACAGATGTGTGAGGCCTGAGTCTGTTGGGAAGGACTTCAGGAGATTAGGAGTTACCCTGGGTGGACACGCCCAGCCCACCATCTCCACAGAAGCACCAGGATCCTCAAGGCCCCTGTGAACAAATAGCTGAGTGTTGCTGAGCACCCACTGGGGCCAGGCACCATGTCCCCAGGGAACAGCTGCTTCCCTTCCATGTCAATCTCCCCACTTAACATGGAGCTGCCCTCTTCCCTCACAGGGATCTAGCAGGCAGGAAGGTGACTCCCACAAGAGGCAGGTGGAAGTGTGGAGTCCCCTTTATGAAGTGTCATGGTTGGAACCCTGAGTGCAGAAGCCTAGATTCAGCTTGTGACTCACAAACCTCATGATCACGCCATGCCGTTAACTGTTCAGGGCACAGCCTCCTTGTTTGTGAAGGGGCAGGGGGGAGGAATTCACCCACATCATAGAGTGATTGAATCTACTGCTCTTCACAGATTACCTCACAAACTAGTCGCTTGCACCAACAAGCACATATGTCTTTCTAAGTCAGCCCATATAGTCTTTCTACTGGCCTCCCAAGAGCAGTGTCCTTCTTATAATCCTAATGATAAACCACGGAGCTCTGGTGGCTTAGTGGTAAAAAATTGTGCTGGTAACACAATGGTATATGCAGTTCAAATCCACCAGCTGCTCTGTGGGAGAAAGATGAGCAGTCTCCCCCGTGTGATTAACTGCCTCTGAAAACCAACTGAAGAGTCAGTTATGAGTTGATTCTGACTCAATGGTACATGACAACAAGGAGTCAAGTTCTTCTCTATGTGTGGACCTGTGAAACTTAAGAAGCAGACTGCCCATTTCCAAAATGCAGATGTTGGACAGTTGCAGAGTAGATATTTCCATTCCAAAAGAAAGAACTGGAAAGGAAGCAGTAAACTCAAACTGCAGAAAAACATTTCACTGGACCTCAAGGTTTGAAAAGAACCCCTCTGGGTCCAGCAGGGTAATGGCCTCCAGCCCTAGTGGCTGTCACATTGCTCCAGAGTCCACACCTGTCTTCCTACGCTTGTCCCATAAGTGGCTCTGGCAGCATAGCTGCTGTGTGTTGGATTGTTAAGGAGAGAGGTGCATTTGAGTTCAGGAGCCGCTCCTCTTTAAAATATACAGAAACCCATGGGAAGGTCGTTGTGAGCTGGAGTCAGTTCAGCCATGGTGAGCTTGGCTTCAGTTTGGTTCATGACACTTTCAGCATCTGCTGTCAGTGTGGCTGCTGAGATGGTTGGCTGGATTCAAAAGACACACTGCTGATTTAGCAAAATGTTGCCTCGCGACTCCTCTGGTGCCATCTCTACAGCATGCTTTCCTAATTTTTGCAAGATGGGTTGTTGTTGTTATGTGCCTTCGAGTCACTTGCAACTCATAGTGACCCTATGTACAACAGCCCTAAACTCTGCTCTGTCCTGTGCCAATCGCACTGTCTCTGACACACCCATCTCGATTGCCCCAGTCACTGAATCAATCCACCTCATAGAGGGTCTTCCCCTCCTGTGCTGTCCCTCCACCATCCCAAGCATGATGTCCCTCTCCAAGGACCAGTCCCTCCTTAAAAGATGTCCAAAGTATGTTAGACGAAGCCTCAGAATCCTTGCCTCCAAGGAGCCACCCGGTTTAACCCTCTCAAGGATGAATCTGTTTGTTTTCCTAGCAGTGCATGGTACCCTCAATACTCTTCTCCAGAACCACAGCTCAAAGGCATCAATTCTCCTTCTATCATCCCTAGTCATTGTCCAACTCTCTGATGCATAACAAGTGATTGCAAAGACCATGGCCTGTATCAGACGCACCTTAGTCTCTGGAGAGACACCATTGCTCTTCAGTACTTTGGAGAGGTCCCTAACAGCAGACTTTCCCATTGCAATACATCTTTTAATTTCCTGGCTACTGGTGCCAAGAGTGTTGACTGTGGAGCCAAACAAACTAAAGCTGGGAACAATCTCAATCTCTTCACCATCCATTCTGATGCTGCCAATTGGTCCAGTGGTGAGAATCTTTGTCTTCTTGACATTGAGCCTCAATCCATATTGTAGGCTGCAGTCCTTGACACTCTGCAGCAGGCGCTTCAGGTCCTCTTCAGTTTCAGAAAGCAGGGTGTGTCATCTGCATAATGCAGATTGTTGATAGATCTTCCACCAATCTTGACCCGACATTTCTCCTCATAGAGCCCAGCTTCCTGGATAATCTGTTCTGCATACAGGTTGAAAAGGAGACAGGACACATCCTTGCTGTACGCCCTTCCCAATTTTGAACCATGCAGTGTTTCCTTGCTCTGTTCTGATGACTGCCTCTTGGTCCAAGTATAAGTTTCGCATTAGCATGATCAAGTGTTCCAGGATTCCCATTCTTCTCAGAGTCAGCCACAGTTTGTTATGATCCACACAGTCAAACGCCTTTGCATAATCAATGAAACACAGATAGACATTCCTCTGGTACTCCCTGCTTTCAGCTGGGATCCATCTAACATTAGCTACAATATCTCTAGTTCCACAACCCCTTCTAAACCCAGCCTGGACTTCTGGCAGTTCTCTGCTGATGTGCTGTTTCAGTCATTTTTGGATAATCTTCAGGAGAATCTTGCTTGCATGTGAAATCAATAATATTGTTCTATAGTTTCCACACTCTGTTGGGTCACCCTTCTTTGGGATGGGAACAAATACAGATCTCTTCCAGTCAGTTGGCCAAGTGGTTGTTCTCCGGATTTCTTGGCACAACTTGGTGAACACATCCAGGGCAGCATCTGCTAGCTGAAATATGTCAGTTGGTATACCATCCATTCCTGGGGCCTTATTTTTTGCTATTTCATTCAAGGCAGCCTGAACTTCTTCCTTCATCACCATAGGCTCTTGCTCACATGTTGTTTCATTAAATTTTTCTGTGTCTGCTAATTCCTTTCAATACAATAATTCAGTATATTCTTTCCATCTTCTTTTAATACTTCCTGGATCATTTAATATTCTGCCGAAAGCATCCTTGATTATAGCAACTCAAGGTTTGAATTTGTTCTTCAGTTCCTTGAGCTTAAGAAATGCTGAGCGAGTTCAGCCCTTTTGATTTTCTGACTCCAACTCCTTGCACATTTCATTGTAATCCTGTGCTGCCTTTTGAAATCTTCTATTCAGCTCTTTAGTATCTTTAATTCTTCCTTCTGCTTTGGCTTCTCTGCACTCCAGTGCAATACTCAGAGTCTCTTCTAACATCCATTTTGGTCTTTTCTTCCTCTTCTGTCTTTGCAATGATCGTTTGCACTCTTCCTGGATGATACCCTTGATATCCTCCCACAGCTCATCTCGTCTTCGCTCATTAGTGTTCAAGGCCTCAAACCTGTTCCTGAGATGGTTCTGAAATTCATGTGGGGTAGACTCAAAGTCATATTTTGGTTTCTGTGGATTCGGTTTAATTTTCCCTCAGCTTGAACTTGCTTATGAATAGTTGGTGGTCTGTTCCACAATCAGCTCCTGGTCTAGTTTTCACAGCTGATAGTGAGCTTCTCCAGCAGTTCTTTCCACATATGTAATCGATCTGATTAGGCTGAGAAATCTACCATTCTTAGAGATCAGATTTCTTTTGCTTAATCTCCTCCCCATTTTGTTACCTTCCTCTCATATTTTGCCATAAGCAGCAGGGAGCCCCCAGTCATCGCCTTCCACTCTCTGTCCAGAAAGTTGTGCAGTCCACAAGCAAGTTCGTGACTTACCTGCTTTTCTTTCCACTAAACTTTAGAGCAGGATTCAGCCATGTTCTCTGTTACTTTGAGATAAAAATAACTTGTCCTCAAAGGTCCAGTCACATGTTCCTCATTGTCTGTTCGGATCTCACCGGAAACACCTTTCTTGTTCCTGTTTCCAGCGTATTTTGTGACATACGAAATAGACATTGCAGACTTGAGTATCACGCCAGCGTGAGTCATGCAGATGTTTTGGTTTTCTTAGTATATGTAAAGATATGTTTGTAATGTAATTTTAGTCTTGTAAAAGCTCAATGACACTATGGAAAATTTTGAAATATTGTGAGAATTATCAGAATGTGATACAAAGGAAACTTGCTGTCAGGAAGATGAGCTGTCAGTGAAAAATGCAGAACAGCAATGCCTGTAGCAGCTTTCTCTAATTTTCCTCACTTCTTTCTGAACCCTTATAAGAATCAGTTTTCTGGTGAAATTCTTCCAACAGTCTTGTTATGGATTTAATTGTGTTTCCCAAAACCATGTGTTATAAATCCCTATATGGGTTATAAGGAACTCTGGTGGTGGTGTAGCTTATGCATTGTGCTGCTAACCCAAAGGTCAATAGTTCAAGTCTACTGAATGCTGCTAGGGAGAAAGATGAGTAGTCTCTTTCTGGAAAAGCAAAGGACCCTGGGAAACCTCCCTTTCTATAGGTGAGGAAGACTGGAGGGAGAGGTCTGGGTGTCCTTGCACAGAACCAGACAAGGTGCCGGCCTGGACAAGTAATCTGGGAGGAGGACAGGGCAGAGCTACAGCAGGGAGGGGAGTGGGAGTGGAGGAGAAGAGGAGGAGGGCAGAGCCGCAGCAGCTCTTCTCCCTACATGACCCTGGGGTCTCTCTTGGGCAGGGGGTTTGCGAGACCTCTCCTCAAGGGTCTAGCATCATCCCCTTGAAGCCACTATAGGCAGAGAGCTTGGGACAGCAGTGTGGCAGTGACCCCTGTCCTTCAGTGCTGGCATACTCAGGGCTCAGCACACTTGCTTAGCAACATCCTGCATAGAGGTTCTCTATGACTGTCATACAGGGGTCAACTGTGCCCTCCCAAAGGCCACCAAACTGGCACAGGAGTCAAAAGGGCAGAAATCCCTCACCTATCTGGCTCTGGGGTTGAGGCAGGGCCAGGTTGTCAGGGCATGTGTGTTTTGGGGCAGTTCTGGCATCTGACGACTTTGTAAGACAATGCCAGGCACTGTGCTGAGTCTGCCGGAAGTCTCTGAGCCCCTCTGTGTCCTCACCAGTGGGACCAACAGCCTCAGGCAAAACATAGACAGTGCTCTCCCCACCCCAGTACAGCATATGGGCACTTCCTTGCCACATCACACTCAGGAGCCCAAGGATCTGCAAGGGATGGCTCAGGATTGGGGGATACAGATTACAGCTGCTGGATGTGGAAGATGCTAGCAAGATAGCCCCTGGGAACACTGGGCCTCAGAGCAGGGAGGATATAGCTGCCAGTTAGAAAGGAGACCGCGTGAGAGAGCACTCTGAAAGGGGTCAGGCAGGGAGTTAGGCCACTTGTGCTGCAAGTTCGCACCACATCGGCAGCAGCCCCAAGTGGCAGAGGGACAAGGCCCAGGCCTGCCTGCCAGGCTGAAAGGCAAGTCCAAGGACAGGGCTTCAAGGCTTCCCAAGGGCAGCTCCTTCAATTCCCATCACCAGCCTGGGCCCACTGCCTCTTAGTTTCCCAGCTTTGCTTACCTGTGACCAGCTGCCTGGCCTTCACCGTCTGAGCTGCCGCCATCCAATTAGGTGAAGTTAGGCATATTAACTTCTCAAGGGACACAAGTGTCCAGTATGCACTGCGTGCTCAAAATATGCCTTCTGGCACTGCCACTACTGTTCTAGCAAAGGGCAAACAGCAAAGGGAGGATGGTCCTCTGCTCAGAAATACTGATTCTACTCCAGGAGTGCTCCTGACTTCAAGGGAAATACGCATGGGAGTTGTTCTTTGTGCTGAGAGTCACTTAGATATTTGTTCAATCATTTATTCACTTAGCAAATGCAGCCAGGCCTACTCTGCTTTGAGTGGAATGGGTATGGAGAAAGCGGGTGTACCCTGTGTGTCTCTACAAGAGCTTTTGAGGTGCATCAGCAGCCATGGCTTTGATACTTCTTAGACTCTGAATGCAGGACTCAGCTTGGCTTGGGGCCATGTAGTATGGTGACTATAGGAGCTCAGGGAACTTGTTGTCACAGTCTGCCTTGGGCTGCCCTGGAGTCCCCCACTCCACCAACCATGTAGGTGCCAGGTAGCCTGGAGAGGCCACGTGCTGCTGGAAACAACTCTGGGCTGTATGGGTGGACAAGAGGACATTTCACATCTGCTGCTTTGCCACACAAAGTCTGCTCTTAGTGGCTGCTCTACTGGGCCTAGGGTGGGTAATTTCATCCTAGGACTGAGAGGGGCCTACGTCTTCGGTGGCAGAAATGATAGTAAGTGTAAGGAAACAGGAGACTAAACAGCTGCTAAGGGAAGGTGGAGAAGGGCAAAGTACCACCCCACAGCATTTCCCATTCCACATCAATTCCTGCCCTGCGGGGGCTCCAGGCTGTACCTGGTCAGCCTATGGGATTTGAGGAAGCCTCCTGGCCCAGAAGACCCAACTCTGAGCCATCCTTCACACTGTCCCGTGTAGCTTGCCATCACCTCAACACCTGCAGGCCCCCTTTCTTGAGGGCTTGCTGGTTACCATGGCGATTCACTATGCCCTGTAGGGCAGGCTGGCCTGGCCATAGGGAGACCCTGGCTCTGTCTGCTCCTCAGGACCCTTTCCTGTCTCCACAGTGCGGCTCCATGACAGCATTTCTGAGGAAGGCTTCCACTATCTCGTCTTTGACCTGTGAGTACCATGTTTTCCCCACCATTCCAGCCCAGTTCTACTGCTCTGTCTGGGGGCAGGGACTCTCAGGCTTACCTCTGTTGCTGTCCTGCCTGCCTAGCCTCCTTGCATCCTCTCTGAAAGAGTCAGCAGGGTCTTCTGGAGATGGGTAGCATACCTGGGCTGGGACAGTGCTGAAGGGCAGTGGCAGAAAGAGACTGAACCCTCACTGGTGACCATGGGAAGCCTGTCAGGCTGCTTTGAGCCCTGGACCCTTAGGAGTATCCTCTTCTTTCTCCTAGGCCCTCCCTTGCCTGGGCTTGGAGCTTCCCAGCTGCCTGCAAATGTGTGTGTGTGTGTGTGTGTGTGTGTGTGTGTTGTAAGTGTTAGGATAGAGGTGAGGAGTGTCACAATGCCAGTGGCACCCAACTGGCTCTCACCTCCTCGATTTAGCAGTGGTGACCTCATGACATCCCTCCTTATACCAATATCAGTGCTATATTTAGTTGCTGGTGAGTCAGTGCAGTCCTGGGAGGCTCCGTCCTACCCTGTGGCCTGAACCTGTCATTGTCTGTCCCCTGCCACCCTCTCTACCCTTGCTCTGTGCCTGAGCAGATGATGCTGAGTATGGAGGCCCACTCTGAGCTCTCTGACCAAGAGGTGCTTGCTATTCCTGGTCCCAAGTATGTCCACAGGCCCCAGGCAGCACTTGGAGATGGAACCAGTCCAGGCTTCAGCCTTTCCCGTGGGAACAAGGCTGTGCCCTGTGATGTCCAGAGTGCCCTGGGTTGAGGGGGAGAGAGCCCTCTGTCACTTTGTATCCCCTCAGTCTCTCAGCCCTCCACTGAGTTCTCTAGAAAACATGGAAGCCTTTGGATGTAGCAGAGTTGGGGATTTCCTTGCCCTGACATCAGGTGGCTACATGCATTTTAGAAGCAGATAAGGGGAAGAGGGAGAGGAGAGTTCATGTGTGCACATATGAGAGTGTGTGCTTGAGGGGACAATATGTATACATAGTTCTTGAGCATGTATGTGTATAAATAATTCTTGTCTTTGAGTACTAGCAAGCCCAGGATCAGCAGGAGTGTGAGCAAAAGGCTCTTAGGGAAGTGGAAACCAGCTGGGGAGGGGGAAGGGGAGGTAGTCGGGGAGCCTAGGCCCCCTCACCCATGTTCCCCAGGATGTGGTTGTCTTGGACTCCACTGGCACTTCATCTCACAGAATCTCCAGTGACCCCCTCACCCAGGAAGGCTTGGAGGACCATATACTACTTACATCCCTGGCATGCTCCATTAGCTTTCAGCTCCAGAGGAGTCTGACGGGTGCAAGCAGGACATGCAGGACAGAGGCTCCAAGCAGCTTCCCAAGGCTATGGAGACCAAAAGGAGAGAAGAGAGGTCCTAAAGATTGATGGGCATGTGTGCCTCAGCCCCCTTCCTTGCAAATTCATATGCTGAGCTTCAGGCCCCACACTGATGAGGGGCTTGGGACCTTCTGGTCCCACAGTTGGGAGAACACTTTCTGACCTGGTATGGCATCAATTTCAGAAGACCCTTATCAGTTTGAGGTCTCTGGGTTTTAGGGATTAAATGGGCACCCTATTTCCTATGCCTGTAGATATTATGAAGTCTTGGGGACCTGGCCTAGAAACACTACAAATCACCCACACATTCCCTGGTGCCTACATGATGGGAGCTGGGCCAGGCTCTTCCTGCAGCATCCTCTGCCTTGGACAGAGTGGAACATCAGATCCCACAGCTGTGGCAAGGCTGGTGTCTGAGGAGCACAGTGTCCTGTGCCTATGCGCTGAGGCAGGTTCTGGCCTTGGCATCCACTAACATAGATGGTAGCCCCTGGAGCTCTTGAGCCTGGGAGCTGTCCTGGCAGGGCCTCTCTGTGCTTTGATTCTTGCCTAAGGCCCTGCCTGACTTTGCTACTGCCCTGTGATGGGCTTCAGGCCTGGAAGAGCAGTGGCTTGGGGTGGGGAGAGGGTGTCACACGAATATGGAGGATTGTAGAGCTGGAGAACACCAGGCTCCTCTCCTGGCCTAAAACTAGGATCTGGTCTTGCTAAGCATCTGTACACTCACATCTGTGATCACTTGTCCCGCTAAGGCAGACATGTGCAGGAACACCCATGCATACACATATGCGTGCACACTCTCACATAGGGCCAGGGGCCAGGGGCCAGGATGGATGCCCTCACCTAGAAATTGTTTTGTTTCTTTGGAAATAGTGTGGTTGCTCACAGGACATCTCAATGTAGTGAACAACTAGAAGTGTCAAGAAATAGAGGTAGAGAGGGAACAGGTAGAGAGTGAATTCAGGACATGGCCCGCTTTGTGAAGGAGTATAGAACAGTGACACTTGCCTGGCTGCTTGCTGGGGGCCCAGCTCAGGGCAGAGCCTTTGCACCTCCCCAGTGCAGAAAAGTTTAGCCAGGAGGGATCCCCAGTCTCCTCTTTACTCACGTGTGCCTCCTCTTTACATCGAGGCCTTACAGTCTTGCCCAGCCAGGGCTGCTGCTCTTGTTTGGGGATGGTGGCCCCAATGGCCAACCCAGTTCCACAGCTGACAGGAAGCAGACTAGACTGGGAACCAGACTTTTGACCCCAAGGCCATCTAAGGGTATTGTTTCAGAGGGGCAATGCAGAAAAGCTTCTGTTTTCCTTGGGTACTCACCTTCTCTGAGCCCCAGTTTCCTCCAAGTAAAGAGGTTCATTCTAACAACAGTTGAGAGGCTTCAGGAGGACCCTCATGCAAGGCATCTAGCTCAGCACACATGCCAGTGTTATGAGTGAGAGAGAGAGCCTGCCCAGGTCAGAGTACTGCCCACTGCCGCTGTCATGCACCAGCTGGCATAGCATGCTGAAACATGAAAGTGAGGAAGACCAGAACACTACATTCAGGGAGTTTGGGTGGGGGACAGCATGGCAGCAACTGTGTGGCCATGGGATTGGCCAGGAACTGGGAAGAGGGTAGGTGCAGAGGGATGTCCCTGCCCACATCCTCCCAGAGATATAGAGGAGGGTAACAGGAGCACCCTCTAGGTGATGTCTCTCAACTGACCTGGAGCTGGCTCAGTTAGGTGAAGGACTGAGTGGATGCAGGAGACAATTTTGTCTCCTTTCCTATGGGTCCAAAGCCATGTACTAAACCCTTCCAGCCTTGGTTTTGTCACTTTTTGTTCCCATGTTCTCTCCTATTCCAGGATTTGTACCTTAAAAGTCATCCAGGGCTCTTTTCAGGTTCCCAAGTGACTTCTAGGCAGTGGCTCTTGTTCCTAGGGCTCCATCCAGATTGTAGAGCCTCTCACAGGCTGGTGCATGTGGTAAGTGGGAGTGCTAGGCTGGGTGCCAGGGGCTCAGCATCATAGTTACTCCATACGCCCCTCAGTCACTTGACCAGGTCAGGCCCAGTCTCATGTTCTCTGGTTTTGGAGAGGAGGCCCTGTCTCTGGGCCCAGGGGGTTTGAAGAAAGGACATCAGATCTTTTCAGAACCTGAGGTTAGAGCCACAGCCTGGGTATAGCTGTGCAGAAGCAAACTCCTATGATGTCCACTCTGAATAAGTCATGTGAACCTTTGTTCTCATCTGTAAACTGAGTGCGTTATGTTATGCCATGGTTGTAAGGATTGAAATGTAAATATCATGCATGAGTTGGCACTTGGTAAGCTGTCCTAATATAGGTAATGATGGCGACAAGGTGGTTGAGTTGATGGTGATGACAGTCCTAGCAGTGGTGTGTGATGGTGTTGGTGTGCAAGAGGTGGTAGTGGCGGTGATGGCAGGTAATAATGGTTCTGTGTGGGAAGTGGTGCTGTGGTGGAAGTGATACTGGTGGTGTCTGTGGTGATGATAATGGTGGCAGGTAACGATGGTCTGTGTGGGAAGTGATGGTGCTGTGGTGGAACTGGTACTGGTGATATCTGTGGTGATAATAATGATGACATGTAACAATGGTCTGTGTGGGAAGTGATGGTGCTGTGGTGGAATTGGTACTGGTGATATTTGTGGTGATAGTGGTGGTGGCAGGTAACAATGGTCTGTGTGGGAAGTGGTCCTGTGGTAGAAGTTGTACTGGTGGTGTCTGTGGTGGTGGTGGCGGCCAGGTAACAATGGTTCTGTGTGGAAGTGGTGTTGTGGAGGAAGTGGTGATGGCGGTATCTGTGGTGATGATAATGGTGGCAGGTTCTGTGTGGGAAATGGTGCTGTGGTGGAAGTGTAATAGCAGTATCTGCAGTGATGGTGGTGGTGGTGGCAGGTAACAATGGTTCTGTGTGGGAAGTGGTGCCTTGATGAAAGTGGTACTGGTGGTATCTGTGGTGATGGTGGCATGGATGGTGGTTATGATAGTAGCAGATAGTGATTCTATGCCAGAGGTGATTGTGGTGCGGGGCTGATAACACAGAGGTGACAGTCTTCATGATGTTGTCTCCTGCAGGGTCACGGGTGGGGAGCTCTTTGAGGACATTGTGGCGAGGGAGTACTACAGTGAAGCTGATGCCAGGTAAGTGTGGAACCCTCCACCACATCTCCCTTTCTCTCACCCCTGTGCCCATATTTCACCAAGCCCTTTTATATTGGTTTGCTTACAAAGTTCATATACATTTTGTTTTACTTTATTTTTCATTTCATATTGTGTTTCATACAGTCATTCCCATACATTATGTTTTATAAAATTATTCACCACTGGACCTTGTCCATTATTACCCAGTCTTTTCAGGTCCCTACTGAATCTTTCCCATTTCCTTTACCTTCTCCCTCGACCCACCAAGTCCTTTCTTTTCCTCTCTTCTAAGTCCAGCTCTGTTCCTATGCAACATTCCCCTCTGTGGCAGGGTAGAGGGCCAACCATGATGAAGCACTGGTTCTGCCAGCCCATGCTGGCCACCTACTTGATGGCCATGAGGCTCTGCTGAAAACTCTGAACCCCTGGTCTCCATGTGTTTGAAAGGCAGGAGAGCAGGGTGGATGGCTTCAGGAGGAGATGTGGCCTGAGTATGGGGAGGCCTAGGCATGATTTCCCTGAGGTCACAGTGTCTGGTACCTCTATCCAAGCCTTGAGGGAGCCAAGTCCATGACCTGGTGACTACTTTAAGGCTCTCCAGAGAGTAACAGTAGAGTTTGATTTAAGGTGCTCTCAACCCCGTCTCTTGAAAAACTTAGTTAATGACACATGAGCACTTCTTGGTTAGCCTTTGTCATAATAATGAACACTTTCCAAGCTGGAGCCAGGAACTGTATTCCAGGGACTCTTCCAGAGCCACCAGAGTCTGCCCAGATTGAATATATAATGAGGAGCATGGTCTCTTGCGCCGGTAGATGGTGGATGGAAAAGGCAGCAAGTCGGGAGAGACTGTTAGCTTCACATCCCTGGAAGGGTCAGCCTAAGGTTGGCCTGCTGCAGTCCAAATTCCTGAGTTTGTGGCTTTCTGACCACTGGCTGACACAATGTGAAGGATTGGCCACAAACCAGGTTATCCTTGAGCTGAGGTACACAGTGCTAAGGGACATTCCTGGTTATAGATCTTAGTGCACCTGACTCAGGAATTTGGATATGGAATGAGTGGATATGGAATGAGGGAGATCTTTACTGATGTTATATGGATCATGGTAGAAAGCAGAAGATTCCAGAAAAAAGTTTACTTGGGTTCTATTGATCATGCAAAGGCATTTGACATACGGATCATAACAAATTATGGATGGCATTGAGAATAAAGGGGATCTCAGAACTCCTAATTGTGCACATGGAAACCTCTACATAGACCAAGAAGCAGTTTTCCAAACAGAACAAGAGAACAGCCCATCGTTAAAATTTAAAAAAAGATATGCATCAGGTTTGTATCCTTTCTCCGTATCTATTCAATATGTATGCTAAGCAAATGATTCAAGAAGTTGGACTCTATGAAGAACAATGTGACATCTGGATTAAAGGAAGGTTGTTCAGCTACCTACATTATGTGGATGACACAAGACTACATATTCAAGACTGTTGTTGTTAAGTGCTGTTGAGTCAAGTATGACTCATAGTGACCCTATGAATAAAAATCTGACCCTTATTGTATCTTGTGCCACCCTCACACTTCTAGCATACAAGAGCCCATTGCAGCACTCACCATGTCAGTGCATTTGGTTGAAGGTCTTCCTCTCCTTGGCCGACCCTCCACCTTTCCCAACATCATATCCCTCTCCAAGGAATGACCCCTCCTAGCAACATGCCCGAAGTATGTGAGACAAAGCGTCATCATTCTTACCTCCAGAGAGCACTCTGGCTGCACCCTCTCTAAGACATATCTGTTTATTCTTTTTGCCATCCATGGGATATGCAGTACTCTTCTCCAACACCACATAGCTCAAAGGTCTTCTATCAACCTTATTCAATGTCCCTCTCTCAGATGCTTAGCAAGTGATCAGAAAGACCATGGCCTACATCAGACACACCTTAAACTGGCATCATTACTTTTCAATAATTTGGAGAGGTCCCTAACTTCAGATTTTCCCAGTGCAATGAGTTTCCTTAGGAAGAAGGATTAGCCATCCACTTTTGAAATAGCAGGCCTCTGAAAACCCTATGGACAACAGAACACATTTAGATAACAGAAATGGCAAAGGAGGTTGAGTTTTCAATTATGGAAATACAAAGGAAGAGGAACAGTTGTAAGCA